TAACATATAATGTATTATTTGTTTCAGAGGTACAGGTCTGTGATTCATCAGTCTTACACAATTCACAGCACTCACCATAGCACAAACCCTCCCCAGTGTGTATCACCCAGCCACCCCATCCCTCCCATCCCCACCACTCCAGCAACCCTCGGTTTGTTTCCTGAGATTAGGAATTCCTGAGTACTGATTTTTTAAAAACCCACTTTATTGAGATATGATTGACATACAAAATGCTGTATATATTTAATGTATATAACTAGATGAGTTTAGAGACAAGTCTATTTTTGTGAAACTATCATCACAATTAATGCCATTTTCCTCCAAAAGTTTCCTCCTACTATCTATTTTTAAATTTTATTTTTTGTAATAGGAACCCTTAACACAGGATCTACACTCTTAGCAAATTTTATTTTAAAGATTTTATTTTTTTTTAAGTAATCTCTATACCCGACGTGGGACTCAAAACCTACAACCACAAGATTAGGAGTTGCATGCTTTACTGAACTGAGCCAGCCAGGTGCCCCTGCAAATTTTAAAGTATACAATGCAATATTGTTAACTGGGGTGCCTGGGTGGCTCAGTCGTTAAGCATCTGCCTTCGGCTCAGGTCATGATCCCAGGGTCCAGGTATCGAGGCCCGCATCGGGCTCCCTGCTCAGGGGGAAGCCTGCTTCTCCCTCTCCCACTCCCCCTGCTTGTGTTCCCTCTCTTGCTGTCTCTCTCTGTCAAATAAATAAATAAAATCTTTAAATAAAAAAAATAATATTGTTAACTATCGGTACTGTGCTGTACAGTAGATCTCTAGCATATATTCATCTTGCATAATTGAAACTTTATACCCTTTGACCAACACCTCCCCATTTCTCCTCCCTCCAACCCCAGTAACCACCATTCTATCCTTTGCTACTATGAATTTGACTATTTTAGATTCGTCATATAAGGGGATCATGTAGTATTTGCTCTTCTGTGTTTGGCTTACTTCATTTAGCATGTTTTCCAGGTTCATCCATGTTGTCACAAATGGCAGGATTTTCTTCTTTTTTTTAAAGGCTGAATCATAGTCTACTGTATGTAAACACTACATTTTCCTTATCCATTCATCTGTCAATGGACATTTAGGTTGCTTCCATGTCTTGGCTATTGTGAATAATGCTGCAATGAATATGGGAATACAGATATCTTTGACATCTTGATTTCAATTCCTTTGTTTATATACCCAGAAATGCGGTTGCTAGATCATATGGTAGTTCTATTTTTAATTTGTGTAGATTTTTGAAATCTTATGTCATGTATTTTTTGTGTCATAATTAATTAATCTTTGCCAAACCCATGGTATCTAAGATTTTCCCCAATGTTTTATTCTAGAAGCTCATAGTTTTAGCCCTCTCATTTAGATCTCTGATCTATTTGGAGTCAAATTTTTATACAATGTGAGCTAAGGGTTAAAGTTTATATTTTTGAATATGGCTGTCAACTGTTCAAGCATGATTTGTTAAAAAGATTATTTTTCCCTCATTGAATTGTTATGGTACTTTTATTGAAAATCAACTGATTTTGTATGTGTGAGTCTATTTCTGAACCTTTTATTCTGTTCCAATGTTATATTTGTCTATCTTTACATCAATCCTATAATTTCTCAATTATATCTTCATAAAAACAATTTAGTATCAGTAGTGTTAGTTCCTCAAATTTGTTAGTCCTTTCAAAATGTTTTTACTAACATAGTCCTTTTTACTTTTCATGCATATCTGACAATCATTTTGTCAATTTCTGCAGAACTTCCTGCTGGGATTTTTATTGGTATTACATTGAATATATAAATCAATGTGGAGAGAATTAACATTTTGTTTTATTTTTTTAAAGCTTTATTTATTTATTTGAGGGAGAGAAAGAGAGACAATGAGCAGGAGGGGCAGAGGGAGAAGGAGAGAGAATCTCAAGCAGACTCCGTGCTGAGCACGGAGCTGGAGGTGGGGCTTGATCTCATGACCCTGAGATCATGACCTGAGCTGAAACCAAGAGTCAGATGCTCAACCTACTACACCACTCAGGTGCCCCAAGAACTAACATTTTAATGCGGGTCTTCTAATCCGTGAACACAATGGGTAAAGAAACGTCTCACAATCTTGGAGTCTAGAAGTCCAAAATCAAGATGTCAGTGGATTATTTCCTTCTGAGGGCTATGAGGGAAGGATCTGTTCCAGGTCTCTCTCCTGGGATTGTAGACTTATTACTCTGATCTCAGCCTTCATGTTTATAAGGTGTTCGCCTTGTGTGTGTCTGTCTCCAATTTTTTCTCTTTTTTAAGGATAGAAGTCATGTTGGATGGGGGCCCACCATAATGATCTGATTTTAACTTGATTACCTCTGTAAAGACCCTATTTCCAAATAAGGTCATATTCTGAAGTTCTGGAGGTTAGAATTGCAACATGTGTGTGTGTGTGTGTGTGTGTGTGTGATATGTATGTGTTGGGGGGGGCACAATTTAACCCATAACAAACAGTAGGGTTTTCTTTAATCACTAAGTCTGTTACTCTTTGATTTTTAAATTCAACTTGTACATTGTCCCTTCTATAGTAAAGTGCAGAATTGTGGAGTCTATCGTTTTGATCCAGAGTCCTGGTTCCCCTTGTCAAATATCTAAACCTAGCAGAGCTCCCAAGTCTCTCTCTCAGGCTGCTTAAAAGAATGTCCTTGATTAGAAGACAATGTAAGAATTTCGATTTATCAACTTGGAATAGGTAAAGTCTTCCTAGAAGGCTTAGATTTGACAATATAAAAGAAAAATATCCCTGATAATCGTTGAATAAACAAACTTAAAAGACATAGTATATTTGGAATAAGTATGTGTAATATATGTAACAGGCAAAGTAATGCTCATTTTATTAAAATAATTTTTACAAATAAACAAGAAAAAGTCAATCTTTAAAAGTGCAAACATACAGGGTAAGTTGTTCAACTGCCCTCATAATTAGGAAAATGCAAATGAAACCAACAAAATACTTTCAAGTTGCCTAAAATCTAAAAAAGACTGATAATAGTGTTAACCAAGATTCAGGGAAATCGGTTTCCCATACGTTGTGTTTTGCAGTGTAGATTGTTAGGAGCCATTTTGGAAGGCAACTTGTCAATACCTGTAAAAATATAACATTAGGCATATCCTTTGACCCAGTGATTTCACCTCTAAGAATTCATCCATATATAAATATATATATAAATCATATGTCTATATATATTTGTTGATTTGTGATTCTGATTATGTGAACTAAGAGAAGTAAAAAATTTAAATATTATTAGGAAGTGTGCAAGTTAATGAAATTTTTATACAAGCATATGATGAAGTCCATATGTACATGTGTATGTATATGAACACGTCTCAAAAATACATTTTTAGAGGTGCCGGGGCAGCTCAGTTGGCTGAGCATTAGACTTTTGATTTCGGCTCAGGTCATGATCTCTGGGTTATGAGATCGAGCTCCATGTCAGGCTCCAGCCTCAGCAGGGAGCCTGCTCGAGATGTTCTCGCTCCCTCTCCCTCAGCCCCTCTTGTGGCTTGCATGCTCTTTCTCTCTCTTCCTAAATAAATAAAATCTTAAAAAAAATACATTTTTAAATAAAAAATGAAAACAAGCTGCAGAAAAATACACCTGATATGATCCAATTTCATGTAAGAAAATTGGGTGTTTATATGAGCACCCTTATAAATGAAAAAGAATGTGATTGTCAAGACACACTCCAAACTGTCAAAGTGGATTATCATAGGAATTGAAAAGGAAATGGAGAGGAGGCGGGGAGAGTCAGATTGGGCTTTCAGGCTTTACTCTACATCCTTATGTAATAACTTGAGTCTTTTACAATGAGAAAATATTTGTGTGGGGTTTTTTTTGTGTGTGTGTGTAATAATAATATTTCAACATCAATTCTAAAAATGAAATGAATACCCACATATTTGTCCCTTATTTATCCCATCCCCAAATTGTCTGTAACTCAATGATGTGTGTGCTACAGTAAGCAAATTTTTTTCAAGGGCAAACAAATCAGTTTCTGAAATTCATCCCCAATTTTGAGGAGTTGGAAAGACTAATATGATGCAATATCCAGAGCCTGGGCACCTCTTCGGGTCTGAATGAAGAAAGTCTTTGGGACAACCCCGTGGTTGTTCTCACCTATTTTAGGGAGATCTATATAGAAAGCAACATTTGACAAAGAGCTAAGGCAAATTCTCATTTCCTTTTCCCTTTTTTGCAGGTTTACAATTGTGTCTCTTAGTTTCCTTGCTAGCTTTTTAGTCCCTCCTTATAATAAGGTAAGCTCTTCTTCTTCATCCTCTTTGTTCCTTTTATTCTTTCCTCTTTGACTCCCTCACTATCTTCTCTTTACTTCTTTCCCCTTTTCTCCTTTACTTCTCTTCTATGGGCTCCTGCTCATTCTTGTGCAGTGGCCTCTGGAGTTGGCAGGTGCTGCTTCCCTTCCCCCACCAGGCAGATCTTGTACGGGGGCAGCGCCATCTGTCCCAGGGTGCGTCTCTCACCATGCAGTAGTACACAGCAGTATCTCCCAGGGTAACCCGGGGCAGAATCAAGGTACTGGACTCTCTAGCTGTTGTGATGATCAGAGTGGCCATTCCATTAGTCACATTGCCTTTTAGACCATGAATCATGTACTCCGGACCCTGGTTGGGAATCTGTCGATACCAGTATATGTACTCATTTCCACTGATTGTGGAGTGGTTACAAGGCAGGTGGACAGGTTTTTCTTCAGTACTCTCCATTGCATTTGTCGGTGTGGTCTTAGCATCGCTCATAATACCTGAGGGGTTGAGAAACAATAGATGAGCTCTGGTTGGTCAAATGTGGGTACCTCTAAGGTCAAGGTTCACAATCACTCCCAAAACTCTCCTTTCTGGCCTTACCCCAAAACTTGAGCATTTTTGTGTGTGTTACACAGGGCAAGAGAAATATTACTGGTATTTATTATTGAGCCATCCAGAGGCACAAGGCCAAAGATAAATTTCTGTGTTCCATGGCCATCGGGCTCAATGAACTCAAACCTCCTTACCAAGCCTGAGAGCTGTGAGACTCAGGAGATCTTCTGTGAATAGTGGATATGATCAGCCCCTCACAATGATACTCAGACTCTCTAGAGAAACACATAGACACACAGAAAAGTATAGATGCATTTTTTTCCCAGCAGTTTAGTAAGTACAGTGGAAGAAGGAGAAGGAGCAGATACCTGCTTTTTGTCTCTAGCTATGAAAGTCATCCTTATTAGACCCAGATCACTTACCTAAAGTTAGGAGAATAGTGATTCCTGTTAGTGATCTCATAGTTCCAGTGCACACTGGGGCCCCAGGTCTCAGAGCTCAGAGTTTGCACCTTAATCCAGGTTGGGGGAGGTCCCAGCAACAGCACAGTAGCCACTAACACAGCTCTATATTAGGCAGCTTTCAATCCGGGTGGTCCCCAGCCAAGCATCGGCGAAGGACGGAGCAATCTCTTGAGTGGGTCTACTCCCACCTGTAGGGTTAAACAAAAAATTTGAAAAGAGAGCTAAGAATGTTTTCGCAGTGTCTAGCCCTAATTCAGAGGGTTTATACTGAGACCCTTTTCAAGGTTCAAACTCAAATAGGCTACGTCTGAGTGAATCTGAATGAGCAAAATCATCCCCAAGGAGATTATCATCTCTCATTTGTGATACAAGTCAAAACCCACCACTAATTGGTGGCTTGATGTTCCATTGAGTTGGTATGAAATGTCCTTTAATCCAAGAAACCTATGTTGAGCCCTGGACTGCAAAGGGAAGTAGAGAAATCCTATCCATATTCCCACCCACAGCAAGTACATCTCAAGAGCAGTAATAGACAATTTAACTTCAAAAGTTAGAGACTTCTTTTTGTTAAAAAAAAAAAAAAGATCATATTGGATGAGTTAAACATCCAATAAGAAGAAAATATTTGCAAATCTGTGACAAAAAAACTTTGTAACTGAATGATACTACCGTGTTCAGTTTAATAGGAAAAGGTAAAACTGAAATCCTTTCTAAGAGCCAAGGTGTCTAGTATTCAGGTCTCCCATGTTGGCTCCGGGAACGATGTTTTAAGCATCTTCCAGATAGGCATTGTTGGATGCCTCTGGTCTTGATACAGGAACCAATGACTTGACTGGTACTTATTCCTATCCAACCTGAGCCCCTCTTTAACACATCATCTCCATGCCCATGCCTAGTGGTGGCATTCATTAAGGCCACTAAAAAGAAAGACGAAATGAGAAGAGATTATTTGAAATGAAGCCATTTTCCAAGAGAGGTGGAAATAAACATAAAGTTTACCTGTTTATTCT